TACCATAAACGAAGTTGAAAGACAAAAATCAGCCTGGAAGAAAGTTTTGTAACATATGTAACAGACAAAGGGTTAATATTCATAATATATAAAGAGCTCCTCTAAGTAAATAAGAAGAAAGACAGTCTCACAGAAAAATGGACAAAGTACATGAATAAGCAATTCACAGATAAAATACAAATGGCCAATAAACAAATGAAAAGTTTTCGACTTTTCATTAAAAATCAAGGAAAGGCAAATGAATTTAGGCGCCAAGGGTCCCAGGGAGACTCTGATGGTCTGGCAGGAGAGACTGTGTTTTTCACCTTCCTACAGTGAGACTGATGGCTGAGATGAACTTCTTTCCCTCCTGAGACAGGATCCCACCTCTGCCCCAGGAATGGGTGCGGGCTCTGACTCCCTCTTTCCTTTGGGAGGTACTACTCCCTTATTGCATGCAGTTTGGGAGTAGAAGCAGGAGCCTTGGGAATTGAGACTGAAAGAGGATTTGTGAGGTCATTCTTCGCATTCTCGGCCTCCAGATAGGACCATCCTCTCCTTTTCTCATCCTCTCCAGCCCCTCAGAGTTCTCTCCTAGACCCAGAAAGTCTGTCCTGGTGTCTACCCTCAATTCTAGCTATTGCAAGGTCAGCTCTGCTCCCCTTGGAAGCTGCTTCCATCTGGAGGTTTGGTCCCACACACTCCAGCACCCTAATTTCAGGACCTGCCGATGTAGCTGAGCTGGGCTCTGGCCTGGACGGGCTGTAGCTCGGTGTTTAAACAGACTGGAACCAGGGGAAGATTTGTCTCTCTGGAGACTGGCGGTCAGAACCGGTTCACTGTCTGTTGCTGAGCTCTGCCTAGGGCTGGGATGCTCTGAGCCAGTAGCAGCCCTGACTAGGGAGGGAAATCTCTCTGGCCACTGTCTGCCATGAGGCAGTCTGGTGTCCCCAGGGAGAAGGAAGGGTATGTTTCCACTCTTGGGAGTCCCAGGATGATGGAAGGGGGGGGCTCCCTCCTAGCACCCTATGTCAGGACTGGCTATCTTCTGTCTACTTGTGTGTGTGTGTGTGTGTGTGTGTGTGTGTGTGTGTGTGTATGTGTGTGTGTGTATGTTTTCAGAGAATGTGAACTTTTTTTTTAATTAAAAAAAAATTTATTCATTTATTTATTTTTGGCCACACTGCACGGCATGTGAGATCTTAGTTCCCTGACCAGGGATCAAACCCGGGCCCATGGCAGTGGAAGTGCAGAAACCTAACCACTGGACAGCCAGGGAATCCCCTGTCTACTTGTGTTCATGTGAGCTGAGCTTGTCTTCCAAAAGTGAGTTCCCAAGACTGAGCCTGCCACTTCCCAGGCCTTCCAAGTCTCACTCCATTGGTGTGGAAGACCCTAAGAACATCTGCAGAGGGACAGGGCCCAAGCATGGCTGTCAGGCGGCCCTGAGGCCCGAGGACCCCAGGTCAAGGAAGGGCTGGAGAGGTCTGGAGTTAGTCAGGATGGGCTTCCTGGGGGAGAGCAGGCAGCTCCTTGGCTGTAGATGATCAGAGGAGCACTGGCCAGGGCCGTGGAAGGTGTGTGACAAGGGTGCTGGGTTGGGAGGTCTGAGCCAGTTCTGGGTGGCTGACCCTCTGGGAAATCCAGGGAGTTTCCAAGCCGAGAGCTTGGTGGGGGGGACCAGTGGTGAGGGTTGTAGCTAGAGTCCTGCTGGGTGGAGAGGGCAGGCTTCTCCTGTCTCACCTTAATCCCTCCTGCTGCAGGAGGCATGGTTGTGGAGATGGGGAGGAGCAATGCTGGTGTGTGTGTGTGTGTGTGTGACTGTGAGTGTGCAAGTATTTACATTTCTGTTACCATGCTCACATGTGCCTCCATGGGTGTGCATTAAGTCTGTGGAGCTATAATGTGATACTGGGTGTGTCTGTGCCAGAATCTGTGTCTCGGTGTGTGTGAGCTTCTCTGTACTTCTGGGAACACTCAGGTCTGACACTGTGTGCATGGGCATCCGTGTTTATGTGAGTGTCTGAGTGAGTGTTTGTACAAGTGTCTGTGACTGTGTATGTGTGTGTGTGTGTCCACGAATGACTCTGGGTGTCTGAAGGGCTATGAGTACCTGTGAGTGTGTAACTATGTACGCAGGCGTCTGTGCATATCTATGTGCTGTCCTCTGTGTGACCCAGGAATCAGTGGTTCTGTGTGTAGGCGTCTGTGGGTCTCCCCACCTTTAAGAGCAGCTCTTTTGAATCTCTGTCACAATCTTCCCAATCAGACTGCTCCATCTGCCCCAACCGCATCCCCTCCTCTCCCCCTTCCTTTCCCTGAGGTTGAGGCTCAGCCTTTTAAGCCCCCTAGAAAAACCTCTTGGCTCTGCTAATCATGACTAATGGGGCCCAGACTGGGTGCAGGCTGCAGGGGGCACCCTCTCCAGGCTGGCACCCACCCAAACCTCACCCATCCCATTCCTACCCCATCCCTCACCCTGCACCCCTGGCTGCACTGCCCACCTGCCTGCACAGCTCACCCCTCCCATTTCATGAAGGAGCCTCCCCTCTGAGACTTTGGGGAGACAGAGAAGTCATGGCCTGAGCCCCCAAGGGGCCTACTGTGGGGTTGAGGATCCTAACCCACAGAGTTTCTCTTGACCTAAAGCCCAAGTCAAGGTGAACCCAGAGAGGGGGATCAATATCCCTACTCCCACCTTCTGCATCCCCCTAACAAGCACACATGCCAGGTTTCTCCTTAAAAACTTGTCTTGATAGCTCTTTGCTGGGCCTTCTGGCTGCTATGGTTCTCTGGGGCTGGGGCTGGGGCTGGCCAGCAGGAAGAGGGGGGAGGGAAACAGGGACATTCCCAGGGCCATAGGGGACAGGGGCAGGGGAAAACTGGGCCTATCTGATGAGCCTAAAAGGTGACATTGGCTCAAGGTCACATAGCACTTCACACACAGCAGTCTGGAAAAGGGCTTTGAGGGCAGACTTCCCTCCAGGAGCAAGAAGCCCCCCATCCTTCTGTTATATTCATTCATTCATACAACAGTCACCGTACCAGGCCCTGTGCTAGGAACTAGGGACACAGCCGCATCAGGCAGACTGTCCTCAAGTTGTTCCGGCCTCATTGATCTTCTCTAGCAATGGGGAGCTCACTATCATAGAAGTTTTTGAGTCCCAGCACTGCGCAAGTTCAGCTCGTTCGAGACACTCGAAACCCCTTGCTACCTTCCTGGAAGCCATGGGGGGAAGGGGTGTGAGTGGCCAGGCAGGGAGGGCATAGACCCCCATCCCCGCAGAGCCCCATCCTCCTGAAGCCCAGAGTGTGTGTGTCCAGGAGGGGCTGAGCTGCTAGGCCGCCTGCACACACCTGACCTGGGTTGACGGCCCTTTCTTCAAAGGCCCAGTCCGTGCTTCCTTATTGCCCAGCTAATGACAGTGATTAGGACAACAGGTGCCGCCTGCCTCCCGTATGCCCTCCCGCCTGCTGAGGAGGATGGATTCTAAGCACCTGGGGGAAGCCTGCCCTGAGCGCTGCCAGGGCACCCACCATAGCCGACCCCTCCACCCTTAGGCCAGTTTTCATCCACCTCCTCGCCTGAGAAGGAAGGCAGGGCCAGCCCAGTCATCCCCTGGGGCTGCTGTGTGGTCTCAGTCCACATCTGGCCCTCTCTGAGCCAGACTGACGGGGAAGTGGAGAGGTCCAAAGGGGAGCTGAGAACAGTGGAGGGCCATGTGTCCCCTAGGAAGCACACCTGTCTCTTCCCCAGCCAGGGCTGGACTGTGGGTGCCAAACCAGGGTCCCGAAGAAAGTAGCAGCAGAGGGTCCTCCTTGCAGATGGGGCTGGGACTACTCCTTAGGAACCCACTGCGGGTAAGCCACTGGTGGAGTCCCACCACTCTGGGCCTGGCCCACTCCCAGTGGAGGGGGCTGTCGCCTGGGGCCTTGGGAGGGTCCGAGTGTGGGTCTGGGTGGGAGCCGTGATTTATGACTGCGCTTCATGAGTGAAGAATGCCAGCCTGGGGTCTGGGATGGGGGCAGGGCCCCTCTCCTGACACTTCTCATTCTGCTGGATGTCTGGCATGTCCTGTCAGGATCTCCTGTGCCCTGGGGACAGCCATGTTCTCCCCCATGCAGCAGCCCCCTCCCCCCAACCCTCAAATCCCCAGCTCTGGGAGTACTGAGGGCAGGCCCAGCCCAGAGGGGAAATCCAGAATTAAATCCTTTCTGGTTTTCTTTCTTCATAACTCATTTCCTTGTTTTACTGGGCATGAGAGTGATGGTAAAGCTCTCTTTTTATTCTCCCACTGCAGCAGAAGGGAACTCCTGGAAATCTCCATCTAGATGAACTTACAGCCAGGAAGGGATGTTGAGCTCCCAGGATGGATGATGGATGTGGTGACATCCTTCCCCACCCCCAACCTACCTTGCCAGATAAATGAAAACTCTGGAATTCATGAAGGAGGAGGGGCAGAGGAGTGGGGGAGGGGAGGTTGGGAGGCAGAATGATCCCAGGTGCAGTCTGGTCCTGGGCTCTGAAGGCCATAGTTTAGAACCTGTTCCTGTGAGTCTCACCTGTATCCTTCTTGCTGCAGGTTTGCCATTTTGGGCGAGGGTCCCTCTTTCTGGGCATCTAGCATGGGTCAGCCTGCCTCCCTTGGTCTGGTGGGACTGGTTTTTCCAGCTTGTGGAGGGGTCTGTGAGGAGTTGGCAGGGGCAGAGGGTTTTACGTAAATGCCCAGGGAGGTATCTGGGAATGGGGAGGCTGGTTTTCTCAAAGACATGCAGGGGGTGGAAGCTCCCAATTAGCCGGGCCGGGTGGTGTCAGTGCTGCTTTCCTGGGTGGCTGCGTCCACTCCGACAGGCCTTGGCAGAGCTCCCTGGCCATTGCCTTCTCCCTTGGGTGGGAGGGGTGCCAAGGGGGCCGCCATACAGGACAGATGCCAGGTCCCCTCCCAGGGTATTTCCCAACCTGGGGTCTCAACCATGTTGGGGAGAAGCCCTGGAAAGTGCCGTGAAAAACCACCACAGACTCTACTGAAAGACTTTAATGGGGCTGATATTTGAACCTCCCCCCAGACCTGAGAGGCTGGGGGGAACTCAGTATGTTGGGCCGGTCCCGGAGACTGTAGCCATGGCAACTGCTGGTAGGCTTTGCTGCCCAGGCAGCTCCAGCCCTGAGTTTGAATAAATAGAGAACAAAAGGGTCTGGTCACCCACCAAGCTGGGGAGACGAAGACCTGGAGTGCCAGACAGAGCACGCTGTCGTGTCTGTGACCTCGCAAGTGTACGTTGTCAAGCATACACCACCTAGGATCATCACACACACAAACCCCCCTTGCAGAACATCCTCACATGACACACCGTCTTTACACACACACACGTACATACACATACACACACTTTCCTCAGACATGTAAGACTGAGCTCACATACATCTCCCTCGAACACACACATGAGGTTAGGTATACACGAGCCTTTCTCTCAATGTTTGGCTTGGAGCCTGAGTTTCCCCTCCCAGCTCAGAGGAATAGGAACGAGGTGGGTCTTCCTGGCTTGGGCCAGATTATACCGTGATCTAGGGGCTAGGTGTTGTGACGTTTGCCAGGCTGACCCCACAGAAGCCTGTGGTGTTGGACTGGGCCCAGGAGGGGAATCCGTGCAGGTCGAACATGGGGATGCTCCAGGTGTTGATGGCCAGCGTGATGACCAGGACCCCGATGATGTTGAGCATGAATCCTGCTCGGGCCTGGGGTGAGGAGAGCCAGTCTGAATGAGTGGGTGTTGAGCTGGGCCAGTACCCATCCCTTAGGTGTTCATAGGTGCTCAGGAGCTCTCTCACTAGCAAACCTCTCCCTGGGAAGTCCTCCCTTGGGTCTAACCTGAAACACTAGGTGATGCCCCTACCACCGGCTTTAATCCCAGTGCTAACAGGGGAAAGGGGAGCTTCCCGAGCCCTGAGCCATTCTCTCTGAGTCCATATCCCTGGGTTCGGGTGCCTGGCATCTTGGTGCCTTCCCTAAATTCCTCACCCCTCCTCTCCCTCTCAGTGGCCTAGGGCTGGCAGGGCCTAAAGATACTCCAACTGGGGATCATATTCCAGCCTCCCCCACCGCCACCCACCCCAGCAGGGTCCACTCTAAACTCTGAGAATCTCAGCGGCTTTAAGCTACTTTGTGGTCCACCGAGATGGAAAGACAGAGTGCTGAGGCATTGGAGACCCCTGCCACTCACCATGTCTGTCACTTTGAGGCCTCCGAATGAGAAGGCGATGGCGTTGGGTGGGGTGGCCACAGGCAGCATGAAGGCCAGGGAGCTGGAAAGCGTGCAGGGGAGCATGATGTAGAGAGGGTTGATGCAGATGGCTTGAGACTGGAGGGAGAGACAGTGGGGCAGAGCTGATCGCAGTCTCCGTCCCAGAGGGGAAGGCGTGGCCCCATTCTCCTGCTTCCCTCTCTGAGGGACAACCCCCATCCCCACCCCAATATACACTCTGGCCATGAACCCACCACTTCTGCCAGAAGGCACCTGGTGACCTGAAAAGGGCCCCTTGACCTCTCTGGAGGGGATAAGTGTGCAGCCCTGCCCTGTGGGGCGTGGGAAGGGGAGGGACCCATAAAAAGGATCTCAAAGGGGCTTGTGGGTGTCATCATCAAAGGCTGTGGGAACGCGCCTGGAGAAGGGGTTGGGGACGCTCCGGGGAGCAATTTCATGCCGTCACCTCAGGAATGACAAGAACAGGAGCTGGCCCAGGGAGGTGGGCGAGGCCACCAGTAAGCCCCATCAAGATACTCCAGGGGTGATATCATCAGGGATGGAGTGAGTCAGGGGGCACAGGGCCTTGGGGCCCAAAGTCACTGAAGAGCCTGGGGAAGGGTGGAAGCTCAGGGGTCTTTTCCCAGAAATGAGAGGAGGTGCAGACAGGTCATTCTGGCCTTCAGGCAGGGCCCCACACTTCTGCAGGCAGTGTGGGCAGAAGGGCTGCCTGGAGGAGGTGTTTCTGCAGGGCCAGCTCACCATGGAAGCCAAGATGGGCAGGAAGATTGTGGTGGTGGCCACGTTGCTGGTGCACTCAGTGAAGGTGGCAATCATGAGGCAGAGGATGAAGGCAATGGCGGGAGGCGGCACACTCTCCAGCGGGGTCAGCTTGTCCCCCAGCCACTTCGACAGGCCCGATTCCTGTAGGCAGAGGAGGGTGGTGTGTGGGAGGCTGGGCTTCCTGGGGCCCCAGAGTCCCCTGCTGAGGCTCCGGGAGGGTCCTGTTCTTGCCTGCGCCTCTCTAGAATCTTCAGAGACAAGGGCAGCTTGGGAGGGAAGATGAGACCCAGCTGAAACCTGGGGGCCCCCTCTACTGCTCTTGAAGGACAGTTGGGTGTGGGCAGAAGGGTCAGATGGATAGCGAAGGGGCTTTCTTGGGAAACCTGGGGCTTGATGAGAGTAAAGACCTTTGACCGCATTTACTCCTGCTCTCCTGACCTCTCTTCACGAAGTTCCTGGCCAACCTCAGCCCTCTGCCTGCCCCCTCCAGCCTAGCAGGTTGGGACAGGGGGGGACCTTGCTCCCAGCAAGGAGGGAGAAGGGGAAGGGCCCTGGTAGAGGCTGGGAAGAGGCCAAGAGGGGGACGGGGACAGTTCACAGGGTCAGAAGAGCTCCAAGGTCTTGCCTTGACCACACCTATAATGCCAGACTGTGAGCCCCAGGGAGCTGGGACTTTATTATATACAATGTTGCCCACTTAGCACCCAGCACCCAGCACAGCGCTTGGCACAGTCAGTGAGCGCTTGATGGAGGAACTAACCAATCCCTGACCCAGGAAAGCTCCTGTCCGTGCAGCGAATGAGCTTAGCCAGAACACCGAGGCCTGGGGGTGCAGGTTCAGGGATTTCTGTCTTGGATGGAGACTATGGGGAATGATGACCCGGTCCCCAGAGCCTGGCTGGGTATGATCATGGTGCCCCCTGGTGGCCTCAGCCAGCAAACTGCGTCAACCCAATGCCCGCCAACTACTCCCTGGTGCTAAAGCTTTGGCATTCTCTGTCTGGCAGGCGGTGAGGGGATGGACTGGGTGATCACCGAGTACAGTCCCTGCTCACCAGAGAAGCCCCCACTAGGGAGAGGTCCCTATGGCTTGTGTTTCCTCCCCGTGTCTTAGGGCTCTAAGCTGTTTCTCCAGCTGCTGCAAAGGCTCTGCCCACCAGGGGGCTCCTAAGTGGGGGGTCAGGGCTCCCCTGTGTGGGAGAGAAGCAGGGCCCCTCTGCCCCTGTTACAGGGTCTCCCTCAAGTGGGTTGGGGAGGGGGTGGGGTCTGTCACCTCACTGCCCTTGGCCAGGGCAAAGCCACCGCCCAGAAGGAGCACGATATTCCAAGGCATCTTCTCTTTAACTATTTTCCAGTTGAGGAGGGCAGGAGGGGCCTTCAGCTTCCCTGGTTTACCTACTCCCCAAGCAGAAGAGGATGGGTCACCAAGAGCCAACAGGCTTTCCTCCCCTTCCCTTCCCCGCTCTGTACGGGTGGGTCCCTGTCAGAGCTTAATGCGTGGAAGAGAGGGACCCTCAGTTCTGCAACATCACGACTTTGTCCCTGAGTCCCTGTGCCCTTGGCAAATCACCCCAGCTTCTCTGGGCTTGGTCTACTCCTGCCGAGTGTGGTCGAAGGGATGTCACATGCCAGAAGGCGGGGTCTGCCCAGAGGCCCTTCCCTGCCCCAGACCAGGTGCTTACCTGGTTTCTGAGTCAGCCCTGGGATCTTGGAGGGCACGATGAACAAAATTACACCGATTAAGATGGCTACTGTCCCATCGGATGGCATGCTGCGGGCGGGGCAGGGAGGGCAGGCTTAGCGGCTTAGGGCTGCTCAGGGTCACAGGATGCAGGGGGGCTGGAGAGGAGCCCCTCCCACAGATGTGCCAACCCGTCCTTGCAAGTTCCTCCCACCTCAACCCAACGTTACCTCCTGTTCTGCGTTGGGGGTCCTGCTCCCTTCCCTCCTCTTGGAAGTATTTCTCCTCCCCGCAGTGCTCACCTTTTCCCATTCTCATCGGAAAAAGCCAGGTTACCCCAGCCGGTGAAAAAGCCTGGCTCCCGAGTGAACCAGAGCACCACCAATAAGACAAAGAGGATGGTGACAGCCTTTTCTGCAAAGGTCATGGGGCCCAGCAGCTTGTGCTCTCTCCGGATGACTTCGAAGGCTGCTCGCTCTTGTTTCCTCATCTGGTCCCCCAAGCCACAGTTCTTCCGGAAGCTGCAGGTAGGGGTGGGGACGGCTCGTAAGGGCACCACACCAGGCAGGGGAGCAAGGGGCTGTGAGTGCCTGTGGTTTTGTTGTTGTTGTTGTTTTGGCCGCGCCACGCGGCTTGCGGGACCAAGGGCCACAGCAGTGAAAGTGCTGAGTGAACCAAGGGCCACAGCAGTGGAAGTGCTGAGTCCCGACCACTGGACTGCCAGGGAACTCCCATGAGCTGTAAAGGTTCCCAATGTTCTGGAAGAAGAGCAGAAGACTCTGGGGTGTCATGGCTCTTATTTAGCAGAGGGGAGGCTGAGGATGGGGGATTGGGTTTCCCTGTGCTTGTCCCTGCTCCATGCGCCCCATTGACCCCTCTGTCCTTCCAGGAATTCTCTTGTGCTGAGCCCTCCCTTGCCCAGAGTGAGGAGGCCCTAGAGGCCTAGACCCCAGGCCTCCTTCTGGCCCTGACTCATCACTCCCCGCCTCCAATAGCCTTTCAGGAAATCCTCCCTTCCCTCTCTTACTGCTTCTGGGCATCCTCTGCCAGCCTGGGCCCCACCCACACTGTCCTCTGGGGCACGGGAATCTGCAGCCCACTTCCATGTGCTTAGCTCACTTTGACTTCTAACTTTTCACTTGGGCAAATCTCAACTCCCCTGCTGGACTTGTGAGTTCCTCAAGGGAAAAACCATGCTTCACACATCTTTGAATCCTTGATGTTGCTTAGCACTGTGCTGGTCTCTTTGACTAACACTTTGCTTTGTACCATCCCCAACCTCAATCCAGCCTCCTTGCACCTGCCCAAGCAATTTTACAGCAACAATGCTTAAAAACTCTCAATGGCTCCCCACTGCCTGGGCAGGATGGACAAATAACAACTTATACCACAATAACAGTCATACCACCACTCTTAGCCTGTACTATAGCAGACATCACTAATCAATCCCAGAGTTGATTCCAGCTGAGCTCCAGCAGGGTCTCACATGATTTTCAACTCAGAGCTCTAGTGACTACTAGTAATCAAGGGTTGGAAGAAGGAATAGAACCTCTTTACTACTCTTGGCCTCAAGAGCAAGGTCCATACTCTTTATATGGCACATGAGATTCCCCATAATCTTCCCCTGCCTACTTCTCCAGCTTCATATGCTGATACTCTTTTTTCCTCTTTGTGTTTCAGTCACACAGAACTAGAGTTCCCCCAAACCCAGCATGCTCTTTCTTGCCTCTGTACCTTTGTACACAAGCTCTTCCTGCTGCTGGAATGACTTTACCTCGTTCTCTACCTGGCTGACTTCTAACTCTATAAGATTCAGTTCAGGCATCATCTCTGCCAGGGGACTTCTAGAATCTTCACTATCCTGGGCCGTCCTCCCACAGCACCTGGGCTTTCCTCTGTCACTGCTCCTACCTTATCATCACCCATTAGATGGTGAGCTCCAAGGACAGGGACTGTCTAATGCTTCTGGTGTTCTCAGTGCCTAGCAGAGGGCCAGGCACACAGTAGGAGCACAACAAGGACTTTTGTAACTGACGATGCTCACAGCGTGTGCTTCTTAAGCACCTGCCAAAGGATTGGGGACTGTTATGGAATGGGACCTGGCCTGGGCATCAGGAGATCTGGTTTTCAATCCCAGCATTGACACATCTAGTTGTGTACCATGTCTTGAACCTCAGTTTGCTCATCTGATAGATGGGCTAATACTCTCCAAACAGTAATTCCCTCAGATGGGGGGGGGGCCAAGTGCACAGAAGGGCCTTGGGAGGGAGAGGCCTTCTCACCGGGATGGTGATTATGCCCTTTTCTGCAGGGCTACCTGGTGACCCAACTGGAAGCTCCTAGAGGGTAAGGGCAGGCACCTGGGCAGCTCTTACCCGCTCCACCACTTACTTGAAGCCTAAGAAGAGGAACTGCAGCCACACCCAGGAAAGCAGCAGCAAGATGACCATGGCGGGGAAGGCAAAGAAAAACCAGGAGGCGAAGTTCACCACGTTGCCATTTTGGGGAAAGAGCCTGAAGAGGGATTCAGGCTGCTGTGCGGCCTTGCCCGGCGACCAGCCTGCCGCACCCCCCATCAGAATGCAGAGCCCCTCCCACTCAGCCACTCACGAGTTGACCTGGCCTTGCAGCACCAGGTTTGTTGTGGTGCCAGTCAGGGTGGCGATGCCCCCGATGCTGGCCGAGTAGCACACACACAGGCTCATGCCCTGGGTGAAGCGGAGCTGCTCCTCGTTCCGCTGTGCCCTGGACTCCAAAGGAACAGGGGGGGCAGGGCCATCCTGCTTGTTGTCTGGGAACAAGGGAGAGCTCAGGTTGGGGATGGGCGCAGGGCCAGTTCTGGGGAGCATGGTGGGAGCTCCAGGGCCTCTAGGGCACCTTGTCACTGAGCAGCCTAGTCCCAGGCTGTGGGGAGGGCAGAGGCTGCTTCCAGGTCTGCAAGGGCCAGCACTCCCTGGAGTCTCAGGCCGGAGTGATCCCCCCAGACACCACCTGGCCCAACCCCTCTTCTGAGAGAGGGAAACTGAGGCACAGAGAAGGGAAGAAGACTGTCCAAACCACACAGGAAGAGTGGAGCCTGGACCCCTGACAGCCCACCCAGGCTTCCGCTCTCGGCTTGCCAGGGTGACCTAGCATCTTGGTTTGCCCAGGACTGAGGGAATTCCCTGCCTGTGGGACTTTTCATTTCAAAACCAGGAAAATCTCAGGCAAACCAGAACACGTTGGTCACCGAACTTCTTGCTTCCCTCTTCTCTCCCTAAACGTGCCAGGATGACTACTCCTATCATGGGCATCGCCTCAGACCCTCCTCAAGGACTGAGGGTTCGGGGCAGGGCCTGGCGTCACCTTTCTCATCAAGCTCGGTCTCTTCCTTCTGGGGACTCGGTTCCTGGAGCTCAAAGGCGGGGTTGTTGCTGCCCTCCTCAACATCCATGCCTGTGGGCATCTCGTGCAGCTGATCCAGAACGGCATGGGCAATGGGCACCATCATGGCAGTGGTGGCTGTGTTGCTGATCCACATGGACAGGAAGGCCGTGACCACCATGAAACCCAGGATCAGCCTAGCGACGGACAGACAGACACACTGGTGTTCCAGCATCCCTTCAAGGACTGGATGCCCAGCACACCACCACCCCAGGTCCTCCAGACTTGGTCTGTGGGAACTCACAGGGAGGGCCGCACACCGATGGTGAGAAGCACGTGGAGGGCGATGCGCTTGTGCAGATTCCAGTGTTCCACGGCCAGCGCCACTAACATCCCCCCGATGAATAGCATGTTGCTGTCCTTAAGGTACTCAGTGCTGACCTGGCCGGCGGGGACAGTTGAGAAGGAGAAAGGGGTCCCCCCGTGCCTCTGGGCATGCAGGGTGCCGATACTGATATTCCCACAAATGGAGGTTGGTCCCCTGGGCTCTAGGACCCAAATGGAAATGGTCTTTGGCTCATCTGCCATTTAATATTAACCAGTTTCCTGTCTTCCTGCCAAAGTCATTCTTTCTCCCCTCAGGAACGACTGAGACATCATCTAACCTGAATCCACTCCTGTTGCAAAGCCATTGCCTGGGAGATAAAGCATTTAATGTCCTTTCTAGAAACTAACGCAGCAGTTCTTAGTGTGGTCCCTGGGCCAGCATCATCAACAACCTGGAACTTGCTAGAAATGAAATGCTTAGACCTTGCTCCAGATCTCCTGAGTCAGAAACTCTGGGGTAGAGCCAGCAATGTGTTTAAATAGTTCTGCAGGTGATCCTGATGCATGCTCAAGTTTCAGAGCCTCTGAACTAGAAGGATACAAACTCTTTAGCTGGCTATCAAGGCCCCCTTTTCCTTCCCTCATCTAGGCCTAGTCGCTCCCACTTCGAATTAACTCTTGACACCAGCCATGCACCTGGCATTTCTAGAATGCCTTCCCACCGGTCTTCTGGTTGACTCCTCCCCCAGTGCTCCCCAACCTGCCAAGCAGAGGCAGGGACACCTCTTCCATGTGCCCTGTCTGTGGTGAGGCTTCCTCCGTCATCAGCGTCCTAGGGCAGACCCCCCTCCATCCCTGGGAGCACATCCTCCTGTGGGTGGGGAGGCTTACCACGGAGGCACCCATTATGCCCATCATGGGGAACATGACGATGGGGAGGAAGGCGGTGATAGCCAGGGGCAGAGCCTCGGTGCACCAGAGGAGCGCCATGAGGATGATGGTGTAGGCACAGTAGGCTTCCTGCAGGTGGGAGGGGAACAGCAAAGCTGTTGGAGGGGGCAGGCCTGTGTCGCAGAATCATGTCACCTCCTGTCCCCAGAGAAAACAGGCCGTTTGTAACAGTGTGGGGAGAGCCTGTGAGACTCACAGTCCTTGATTCCTGAGCCCAAGGTCCCATTTACAAATAGAAATAGAAAACAAAGCAAAACACTCACCACCTTGTCTTTAACCTTGGGGAGACTAGACATTATAATCCAGCCACTGGATTATAATCCAGTCCCCCTGGGGACTGCAGGGTGCTCAGGTGAGAATCCTTACATGAGATGGGGGCTCATCTAGATGAAACTGGGGCCTGGGAAATGTGGCTCCCTGCCTGGCACCCTGGCCTTCCCTGCTTCATCAAGAGCCTGTAAGAGTATATTTATTTGTATGACGATTTAAGTAGCAGTTGTTCCTTCTGCTAGGAGGTCAGTTCCATGAAGACAGAGTCAATTTTGTATCTGGATCCTTGGAGCTCAGGACCCAGGAGGCTTCAGAGCAAATCTTTTCTGAATGAATAAACCACTGAAAAGTTTTAGGAATAGTGGGGTCTCCTTCCTAGTAATCCTGGCATGACCACTGTTTCACATAACTCCCCTATTCCCGCCTTGTGCGGGGAATTGTGGAGTAAACCCTGTCATAGTCTTGTGAGCCTTGGGGTACAAGAGACCCCCCTCTCCCTCATGAGCTCCCAAAGC